TGGTGGCGCTGCAACTTTGAAGGCACGGAACGCCATGCGAGCTGCATGCTGAGTTTCCCAGCGGGAAATGGCGTAGTGTGCCTTGGTCAGCATGAATTCGCACGCAAACGACGCTCTCGACAGACCAACGATGCATGCCAAGCATACCGTGCCGCCTTTCTGAGTCCGAGACAGAGCGCGGTTTCAACACGTTTGCTGTCGCAGACGCGACTTCCAGCCGTGAGCACCCACCCACCATGGGACTGTCGCACGGTTGGCTTTCGAGTGTGAGCCACCTAACTCCACGGTGTATGTACAATATCACGTGGAAACGATTGCTGGTGGTCTTTTCGTCCTGGCGACTCGCTGCGAGCAAGATCCGACCTGCCGACTTGTTTGGGTGGTGTGACCTGGTGGTGTGCTGAAAGATGCGATCCGCACGACGTGCAACGGCACCACGACGGCCCGCTGGTGGCTCGGTGACAAGTGGGCATCGAAAACCACCACCCGCTTGCAACAAGGAGGAAGCTGGCTGCGTCACCACCGCTAATGTCCTGTGTACCAACTCCGCCAAAACCTTGATCAAGGCGATTCCCTGATGGTTTCATAATGTATTTCCACTAGATTCTTTCGGCATTGCGGGAAACATGCGCTTGCTTCGGCGACGCAATCCGTTCAGTGTTGGCATGGTGCGCCCGGCGTCGCCAGGATTAGTTCGGGTGGCGTTTTTGTCGAGTCGGACCGCCCCGGCTACATCCATGCTCTCCTCGTGCCTTAAGTGCACTTTCATAGTCGCATGCAGGGAGACCGGGCAGCGGATCTCGCACAGCAACGATGGAGCCGTGGGCTCCCGAAATTGATACGTTCCTGCGCGAACATCGGCTGTGCATCGCCGTTCGTGTCGGCCATGCAACTCCAACGAAAGGCCAGGCACACAAGACTACCTCTACACCCGCTGACATGGGCGGCTCTTCCTGCTGAAAGGTTGCATGCTTACGATGTGATTCTCAAAGAACGTTCACTTGTACTTACCCTTCGTGAAACATGACATGGATGGAGGTGTGGAGTTGGTGAGGTTGCGGGTCTTGGTGGCGTTGGCGAAATGAATGGGCGTGATCACTTTTGATTTTTGGGAGCTACAAACTATCGACACATGAAGTTGCCAAATTTACCACACTGCAGCCGACCCCGACCTCTAGGTGCGCGAGTCCTCGCGCGCGCCAAGGAAACAGGCCCATTTCGTGCGCCTTGAACCTGGTCTCCGACCAGTGTGTGTGGTGGGAGTGGAAGTTGTCGAACTAGCTGGGAAGCTCTGCGGCAAGCCGAATAAGTCGCCAAGTTCTGACAGCACAAGTTTTCCTTTTGTGGACTACAAGGCCGACAACCAAGTCGACGTGATGCTGTCCAACGTGAAGATGAGCTGCCCACTGCCCAAGATCTGTCGTGGATGGAGGTGAGTGCACATGCTGATGCGACGAAAACGTCTCACCCACTCAATCTATTCCGGTCGAGACGTCGTTTTTCAGCGCCTGAGTTGCATCGGGACAACATTTACATACATATTTAGGGACTAGCAAGGCGACCGATTATTGAATGTAATTCAATAATTTGTCGCCTATATGTACCGTATTTCGGCTTCCGATTTTGGCCAAACAGGTCCGATAAGACACTTAAAGAGTGAAAATTCGTCGTCGGAATTATGGAAATGGTTTGTCGTAATATTATTGACGTTGAATCGACATAATCTTCGAGAACGAATCACCACATCCTCGTTCCAACTTGCCTCATGGGCCATTTTGTGGATAACGTTGCTGTGAGTTCCACTTGGCAGGACAGTGATTCCCCCACCTTTCCTCCCTGGTATATAGGAAATCCCCGTGAAATTCAAGCTGATCTCGGGCCATTCCATGTTGGGTTTTCAAAGGTTGTGCCTTCAGCCAATACGCCGATTCAATGAAATATTTGTATATTCTTTGTACACCTGTTTCCCTCGTAAAATCTATGTGTGGAAACGAGAGCAAACGTTCAAGGCTCCCTGTACAGAAATTGGTCAACAACGGAGGTCACAGTCACATGGACAGTGCGTTCGGGACTGCCCTATTCATTGGACCTCCAATTTACGTTCAAACATGATATTTCAATGATGTCACAGCGCTTGTTTGTCCAAATTCCTATTAAAATTACAAGTTGGCGAATAGGTGATCGACAATGGCACATGCACTCCACTCCATCGGCCACTTTACACTACTCCGCTAGGCGGCGCCGACCCAGCTTTGGCGCACGAGAAAGGCTGGGTCATGGGGGTACCACGCACTCAATCGGGGAATTCGTCCAAACATGCGTTTTTCATCTACTGTATACTCGTTTTTGTTCCAGTGTAATGTAACAAAACCTTCGTGGTCTATTTCTTGTACTTTGTCTAACGCCCATACATCTACCATTATGAATTGATGTAGAGGAGCACAACAAGCTCAAGCAACCGATACAACTTGAATTTGCAGGTTTACTCACTTTGCCCAGCCAAGTCGAGCGAGCCCATGGAATCGATATTGCTTCGGAATGGCCATCCAAAGCGTGTGCCAGCATCGCACACCAGCGTCCAAGCCACCAAGTCGACGAGTGTAAATTCAACCCAATGGAAGTAAAGTGAATATTTCAGTTGACCTTTTGTGGTGGCGAAATCTGTCCAATAATATATTCCAGTTTTGTAAATGTCACTGCATGGATCAATATATCATTAATATATAGATATTGTGTGTTTTGTGCCACACGGTGATATTTGAGTGCCAATTGTAGCGCCTTTTTGTGCCCACAGTACCACCACGACGAAGTGGGCGCACTGATTCCACTTGCACATTTGCTAGGACGAGAGCAATGAAGCTGCCTCTTCCACCCAATTTCTTCAAGTGTCCGCCGCTCTCGATTGACGAAGAGGAGCGGCTCAAGGCCCAAGCGTATGGCACCGCGATGGAGGTGGTACGTCGCCGGCATCGCGAGTTGTGCCGACGCTGACATCGACGATGACAGGTGCAGAAGTCGTTGGTGCAGTCGTCCAACTCAGCTGGTGTGTCGTGGACGCTAGCATCGGACGATGAAGGGCTCAAAATTTTCCGCGCGACCGTCGACGCCCACGGCGTCCACGACCGCCTCAAGTTGGCGGTGGGTGTGACCGAGACTGCAGGCACACTGGACGAAGTCGTCGCGCTGTTCCGGAACGACACGACCGAACACGCCAAGGAGTACGTTCGCCGCTTCGGCAGGGGCCTGATCGATTCGGCAAACTTGTACACGCTCGTCGAACCGACGTCAGCCCACCCGAACGAGAGTGTCACAATCAACTGGATGGCGTTGAAGAGCCCGCTGAAAAAGGTGATCCTTGAGCGCGACTGCTGCTACTTGGAAGGCCACTACGGATTCGTTGTCAATGGGAAGCGGGGGTGGGTGCGCAGTCTCAAGTCGCTCAACTTGATGTGTTGCCCCGACATGCAGCATGCCCTCGGCCTCGTGCGCATGGTGCAATGGGGTAGTGGCCATGTCTTCCTCGAGTCCGACCGGCCAGGCTACATGCGGATTGCATATGTTGTTCACGCCGACTTTGCCGGGTCGGCGCCAGACTGGGCCATCGACGTCGCCATCAAGCGCCGGTGCAAGAGCTTGCTCGACATTGACACGTTCCTGCGAGAAAACCGTCTTGCGCAAGGCCACTTTCTCACACCGCCTCATGTCGTCCCCAAGGACCAACGGCGACAGTGCTTTTTGTGCCGAAAGAAATTTGGTGTGTTTGGCAGCTCCAAATCCAACTGCTGCAAATGCGGCGAAGTGTTCTGCACAACGTGCTGCCATCCGTGGACCGTCCGTGTGTGCGGCATCCCTACGCGCATCGAAGCGTGCGCCAAGTGTGCGCTCATCGCGCCGACCCCGACCAGAGCGCTTCTGCCCGACCAATTTGCCGGGTCCGACCATTACTCGTCGTCGTACCAAGACTCAAGCAGCCGCGGCGTGTACTCGGACAGTCCGATCGCCTCGGCTGGACCGAAGTATTCCCCAGGCAGCAGCACCGTCAGCAGCTCCTTCAGCGCCCGCAACCCCGACGGAAGGCTCCCATTTCCCCGGTTTGAAGCACTTGCCACACAAATTCAACATGGCGACGCGGGCTATCCTCCTTCTCAATACACATACCTCTACGGTCACGCGGGCGAGGCTGCATCAACGTCGACGCGGACGTCTGGCACCAACGATTATCCCTAATGTTCACGATTTTTTGCATCCATTCAAATTCTACATAGTCCGGAATGCCCGCCACTTTTCCCGGCAACGCACGGCACATTTCATATCCGTGCGACGTTCGCCAAAGAGGCGGTCGGTAGTCGCGTGCACCGCCGCGACGTTCGGACGCCACAAAGACGACGCCGCCGCCATCTCTGTTCCATGGCGTCTTGATCCTGGACAGTGGCAAACGCATGTTTGATGATGAGACGGCGCTGACTGAATGGCCGATACTCCTTTGCATGGATCGTGTGCAAAAACGAGTGGCTCCTCTTGTCGACGCGCTCGTGTGGCCGCCACGAGTGCGCGATGGGACGCTTCGACGACGGGTGGAGTGCGCGCATGTCATGCACACTCGAATTGTAACGAGTGTTTTGTCGAAATGGACAATCGAGTGGCCACTGCAGCATCCACACAACACCTACAGGATGTGCAATGACCAGAAGCACGCACGCACCTCGCCACACTTGACGCAGTTGACCTGGTGTACCCATGGCTAGAGCCTCATTTTGCACAGAGCCGCCAGCAGTCTGTGCAAGGACACTTCGACGGCTGATTCGATGGAAATTCATGGAGGAAATGGTCGAATTGGAGGAGACTGCGAAGGCCCATGTCGAGGAACCAGCCTTCGACGTCGAGGCGGCGCCGCGTGGAAAGCGGCTCACCACACGTCAAGGAATCCCGGCCGCGTCCGTGATTCGGTAAAGACATGATCTGTGCTATGGAAGGTCATGCGGATCGTGCCGATCGAGTGTTGCATGTCGACGGACCGCAGCGTGCGAACCCACATGCGCCGACGGCAGCCATGGGGACCATGGACGGACTTCCTCCTCGCAGCAAGTTGACATCGTGATGCCCACTTCGTCCCGCGACAGCAGCGTGCCGCTCGTGGTTTCCTCGGTCAGGTCAAATTCCGCATGGCACTACAGTCGAACCACGAATGCTGAGGGACCGTCGCCAAACCAAGCGTCACAGGTAAAAAGTTTGTAAGCAATATGAACGAACCGTGACCATTGATCAATCAGGCCACTTGATCACGTCAAAATGAACGGTTCCGAGCGACGACAGATCGAAGGCGTCGTGGATAACGTCAGACCAAGCGAGCGACGACACAGTCGGAGGCATGGAGTACCTCCACGAGATACACGTCGGCGGCTGAGCCAGATGCACCGTGCCGATGCCAGGACACTGCCATGTCATCCAGTGCATGTCAACTTTGGACATTGGCGCGTCCTCTGTGCGCGGGACGACTGTGGATTGCTGGACTGCGCCCAACAGCCTCTTCCCAAAGCGATGGACGTGTCTGTGTGAAATAGACCTGCAGCTTGCTGCTGCATGGCTTCGAATCGTCGCAAGGCAGTTCTTTTACGAATGAGTCGACGGGTCATGGAACAGAAGTGGCAGCGACATGTCGAAGGATGGTAATCGTGCTGGTGGACCAACGGACCGCCCTTGACGCGTGAATCGGCAATCTAGGACAGAATCGACGTTCAGTTTGATCGACAAACACCACGCGACTTCATTCGACATCTTCGGCACACGCTTGTGCTTGAGCGACAAACGCATTGGACGCCTCCGTCGAGAGCGCTGGTGGTGCGAAGTAGTGCGGCGGCAGCCACAACTGCATCAACGTCGTGCGAGTGAGATCCAAGTCACGCTAGTTGCATCGCCACCCTCGCTCATCCGGGACGTTTCCATTCGGGTGTGCGCTGGAAGAAGCGCCCGAAACCTCATGGGCTTCCCAATCCAGCGCCTGCCGCGTGGGGCATTCTCTGCAGCTACCATCAACGTGAGGTGGCCCTTTCACCTTGCTCTTCACGCGGCTGCGTCGCAGCTCGAACGACATTCACACGGGAACGAGCACAATGCGCCAGCACGACGCCGACGCGTGGGGCATTTGTCCACGAGGCGGGCCGCGTTGGAGCTTGGTTTGGGGCTGCATGACACGACCTTGGGGACGCTGGGCGATGCGCTGTACAATACGATCCCATGTATAAATTATACGGCACTCGACTTCTGTGGACGTGTGCCGAGAGGGTAGCCATGGAGCATCGTGGCAAGCAGCAGCGGCGTCTCCCATGCGAAAACGCATGGCGCATTCCGTTGTCAGCGCGAGCACGTTAGATGACAAGGTCGTCCGGTGTTAACGTCATGTTTTCGGCACGCACTTCGGCCAGAAGCGCTCGGAACGTCGCCATTTCTTTCGCAAACACGTACTTGTGGTACACTTCCGTCCTATGCTTGAACTCGAGAAAAGCTTTCTCCATGTCGAGGGACGAAGCGGTCGCGGGGTCGAGGTCGAACGGAAGGAAGGTTTCGTTCATCCGAAGGCCGGTGGCCACGGCCATTTGCTTGATGATGGTCGATGTGCCCAGGCGTTCCGCGACCGTCCTAATGCGATCGACGTGATACGCACCCAACCGGCATAGCAACCACGTACCAGTTGGTCCAGTTGCGCTGAATGCGGTCGACTGGATGCTTTTCGTCTTGCGTGATGCTGTGGGCAAACACAACGTAGCGATCCTCTTCGACAAACTGACGCATCAAGATGTTTTGATGGTAGGCATTTTGAGACGTCGACCCATACGACGACGAGTTGCGAAAGTAGCGGACGTTCGGGTCGGGGGTATCCAGCGTCTAGCGGTTCCAACTCAAGTTAGCGAAGGGCGAAGCGTGGTGTGGAGGGCAACGTTCGGTGGGGAAAACATGTCCAACACCCAAACAACACGCCGCGCTCGCACAAGGGATCGCATCCACACAAACGATGCTTGCACTCCGTCAACTCGAGCATTCCCACAGTTGAATCCATAGCGTACAGCTAAGATGGGGACATCAAACACGCACATAGCATCCAGCGTGTTTGTCCAGCGGCGGCACTGGAGCACTTGCGCAACCCACACACCACGACCAAATGCAACGAGACGCGGACATGGCCCAACAAGGAGCACTTTTTCACCGAGTTGACGCACAAGAACACAACGAAGTCGAAACAAAGCATTCCAGCCAAACACAACGCACTTTGTCGTGCTCAAAACTAGAGTAGAGATCGTCACGTACGTCGGCTTTGCCTTCAAAGTACTGCCGTTGCAAGACCTTCGTGACTTCCTCCAGCGTCGCGTTTTCGATGCGCTGGCGGGCCTTGGACAAATGGTACGAGTTTTGGTTTTCCAGCGGATAGATTTTCACTTCGCTGCACTCGTCGAGGGACGCTGGAAGGCCACAGTGCTGGATCATTGTGTCGATGTTGTGATATAGTTGCTTTGCAATCCAGTCAAACCCGAGCAACCGCGAGCTTTCATGGGCAACAAGAGTCGAGTTGCGCCACGTTTGCTTGTACGCGTCCGGCATTACCTACACATGTGTCGCTACGACTTGCAACCAAAATCCAGTTGTACCGGCAAATGATGCGACGAGTTCACCCACTTATACATTTGAGCAGCCACGACCGTGTACGAGTCGACCTTGCGCGCGAGAAGGCTGCGCTGGTGCTCACTCGACGTTGACATCGACTTGAAAATAGATGCAACTTCCTTCCATGGAAGCATGCCCAAAATATTCCTGTCGTTGTTATCGCCGTTGCCAAGGAGTGGACCGGTGCCCCGTCGCCGCCTCGCGAGGTCCGAGATAATTTGTTCAAGTTCGCTCGCTTGGTTTCTCAACGTCGTGACTTCCTGGCGTTCGGCCTCGCGCAACTTCTTGTTGCGCATGCGGTTGTACTCCTTCTTCTTCTCATACGGATCTTTCGATTTTCCTCGACCGGCCGTGGATTTCTCCTCTCCGTTCATTGTTGCTTGAGGCTCCCCAACTTCGTTGCACTCGAACGACCGCGTCGACATGGTACACATGTCGCCCATCAAATCGTCCATGTCGTCTTCCAACGCCAGCGCATCACAGGAGGACAAGGATGCCCCCTCGACGTCTCGGAACATGAGCTCCATGTCGCTCTCCATGCTGCTGTCCATTGCGATGCTCTCAGCGCAAGTGCAATGGGTTGTTTGTTGTCCGTGGGAAAGGGCTCTGCCGTCGTTCAAAAACGTGGCCAAGTCCATACAAATTTCAACATATATTATGCAACAATCATCCGAATATTGATCCGGATATCCAGGTATTGCCAGCAGCGTGTCATCACGACAAGACCTTGTATTAGTAGTAACTACTACAACATTATAATGACCAATCAGATTACGTCAAATGCCAATTTGAGCCAATCAAACTTGTCTGATGAACAAGCCAATTGCAACATCGACGTCCGTTTGAGGAAAAGTCACAAAACGAAATAACACCAACTCACAAGTGGAAGGCACAATTGGCCAAGTAACATCTCGCCATTCCCAGCTGATTATTGAAGACTCTTTATTGCATCGTACCGAGCGGCGTCGAGTGAGTAACACGCCTGCTAGCACCTGGCTTGGTGGCAGGGAGCCTGATGGAACGCTTGCGCCAACTTGTCCCAAACCTGACATGGTGATGAGTCTTGAGAGCCAAGGTTCATTGCAATGGCAATGCCAACATATCGATTGGGCAGTTTACATGTCGACTGGGGATGCATAAACACATGCAGCGACAGGTTAGGTCGAAGGACGGATGCATTCCAAGCGTCAATATCGACCGCGATTCTCCCTCGGTGTCATGACCAACGATGTGTTAACGCGAGAACAACATGGTCAAGCCCAAACAAAGCACAGGAAGTTTGAGCACGTGACCTAATGATGATTGCCATGTATCGTCCACTTCGCAAATTTGGAATTTGCAAGGACAGTGACGGCGAAGCGAAGAGCGAGTGCGCATGGCCCGCTCAGCGCACACGTTATGGGGGCATGCAATAAGTCGATGTACATTGTTGGTGGACATAGCCAAGTTGTGATCTGATCGGTTTTCTACATCAACAGCGTGACTAGGACGATTAACTAGCCATCTCAATATTTTATACGGCATATCGGTGGAGCGAGGTCGAGACGTTGCGGTGACGTGGCACACTGACAGAGCTACGCACTACACATACCAAGCAAGCATCGGTCTCGGCCATGTCGGCCAATTCGCAGAGATAACTGGTTTGAGTCGATACTTGACGTTCGAGCGATGTCCCAAGCGGAGCTTGAGTTGGAATCGAGTCTATCCTGACACTCCGCCCCTGTCGAAAACCCCTCCCAAGCACAAGCACATTCCAAAATATTCGGTAGCGCATGATGTTTTGGCGACAGTGGCAATGCTCTATAAATGACGTGTATATTCAAGCGTATATTTCGATGGAAAGCTCTTCTCGAGCCCACCAGTTCGTGCATATTGTCGTTGTACAGGTGTACGCATGGGACGGTCGCACCACCCCTAGTCGAGTTCTGAGTTTTGAGCAGCTTGCAAGGCTTCTAGCCGTTCCTTGTTGCGCTTGGCAATCACGCGCGAGATGGTTTGCTTTTCGTGGTCGGTCTTGGTCGCCCAGTCTGAGATTCGCATGAGCGTTCCATCCGGCTGCACGACGATGGGGCCGAGATGATCCAGCGCAACGGAAGCGCCTCCAACGGTCACATTTGGGACCGCGTGGGCGTCTTCTATCGACGTTGCTGGGAGGGCTAAAAGCGGCAGCTGCGATGCGTTCTCCGCACTCATGGGAATGGTGGCAAGTTGTATTCGTGACACTCTGATGAAACGTGCAGCCAATCACAATGAGACGGGTAAACTAATAAAACAACGAATAAAAACCAAAATTGCG